GATATTCTCCGCCATTGTCTGTACGAAGCTTCTTGATGGAGGTGGATAGATGTAACTCAAACTTGGAACGAAATGCCTTAAAACATGAGAAAACATCACTCTTTGATTTCATTGGGTACATTATAGTGAATTTGGAGTAATTGTCGATGAAGGTTACAAAGTATTTGTATCCTTCGTAGGAAGACACCTCATAACTACAAACATCGGAGTGAATGAGACCACCAACAGAATTGGATCTGTGATCCGAGCGAGATTTGAAAGACTTTCTTGCCATCTTAGACTTAACACAAACAGGACACCTTTGAACATCTATTTCATTCATTACATCAGGCTTGATTTTTGAAGTTGATAGAAGTTTCTTGAGAGGCTTCAGTCCTATATGACCTAATTTTTGATGCCAATGAAGAAGTGTGGAGTCAGAAGTGTTTTCGGTGGTCAGATTGGAGCAGGGTTCATCTACCTTAGCTGCCAGATAGTACAAGTTGCCTCTTTGGTAACCAGTGCTAACGGGTGCTGAGGCGATAGAAACATTGGTGGAGTGATAGAACAAGCATGAGGTTTTGTCAAAGACTACAACAAAACCCTCATCGCAGAGTGCTGAGACAGAAAGAAGTGGCTCTTGCAGTGCCGGAACCAAGAGAGTTCGATGATGATGATCTCTTTTGTTCATAGGTAACACGGTAGTTCCCAAGTGAGTTGCGTTAATTGAGGATGAATCAGCAAGTTGAATGACCTTCTTAGACTTCTCAAGCTGAGATAGAGTTGATTTGTATGGAGTCATTGAAAGAGAGCATCCTGAATTGATGTTCCAGTCGGTAAAAACTTTCATAGCAGCTGAGAGCACCTTGGCGGATTTAACTTGAACGAAGTTTTCTTCATTTCCTGATTCTTCTTCATCATTGCTGATGTCCAATGCAACAACGGATGTCTTTCCGGCTTTAGTAGTGAAACAAGACGAGGTGTTTGAGGCACGAGACAAGCCTCCTCTCCGAGACGGGGTAGTTGACTGTCTCGGATTCCTTGATCCAGCAGTTACCAACTTCATGATTACGTCTTTTGCAGTAGGTACAGTACTTAGTGTTACAGGCTGGACCAGATTGGGGGCGGTAGCTCGAAGGACGAGTTGAACTCGCTTTAGCGGCAATAGCATCGGAGGAGGAGGTTTGGTCAAGAGAGGTCTTACGACGAGTTACCTTGTTCTTGATGGCCCGAATGACAGTGGCTGAGTTGACCGTGGTTCGTTGCATGAGAGGGGTGACTACTGGGAGCCAGTCAATGGGAAGAGATGTGAGAATCAAAGTGGTGAAGATTTCGTCCATGGTGAGAGGGGCATCGCTAGTTATGAGAGAGTCGAGTCCTTCGTACACCAGGGGGTAAATCGCACCGCCCGATAACGGTTTTTGTAGCCGTTCAGAAACGTGTCACTTTTAATTCAGTTGACACGTTTCTGAGACGTTTTCAGCCGGAACGTCTCAAAGGCGGTTCCAATCACCGCACCATGCGGTGATTGGAAACCGCCGCGGATACCGCAGGTCACGGTGGCTGGAGCCGTGACCAGCCGTTCCTCGAACGATGTTTGGAAAAGTGGAGGAACCGCTTCCACCGGTTCCTCCAGCGGTTCGTGGAACGTCCTGGAGGTACCCTCAAGGAAAGCGATTTCCAGCTTGCGTTCGCTGGGTAAAAAAAAGCGAGTCGCGACTCGCATTAGTCACGTTATCCTGTGGAAGGTAACCCTTACAGTCTCGGCCATCTGAAAATAAATCCATTTTGTAATTTCAACGACGCAATGAAATACATACAACTATTATCATAATAGTTGTATGTATTTCTGTGTTTTGAATAGAGCATAAGACTGCATAAGATTGCATGACGTACTAAAGAAGATAGCTTAAGATTGGGATTCATACGAGCAAAAGTTATGATTACAAGAAAATAAAAATTGAGTGAAATGAACAACCAGAAAGATGAAAAGACAAATCGAGAGCAAAAGTGATTTTCTCTTCGGATTGGGGTTGTGGTTGGTTTAGAAGGAGACATAAACTAAATATTCAATAATGAGAGAAGTGGAAATAAATGATGACTTATCAAATGATATATGTCATCATTCATAAATTGAAACTTTATTTGAAGACAGATGGGATACGACTGAATCCGCGCGAAACGAAGAACTGGTGGTTGAGGGTTGGTAAACCGAGAAATTATACATATGTATAATTTCGATCAATCGAAACAACAGCCTTCTATGATCCATTTGGCAAAATCATCCGGTTTGAGGATCTCAATTTGACCTCGTGGATGTTTTTTGATGTCTTCAAAAGTGTCTTTCCCGGTGAAGACTTTGGAATCGTAATGGATGATCCATTTGTAAAACCTTGATTTGAAATGTGAGAGGTGGTGAGTATTGATGTTGTGGTAAGGTGGTCAAGTTCCACTTACAATTTTTGGTGGTCAGGGGTGAGACTTCGGATCCAAGTGAGTCGCTTGTCAACCGAATCCCACATAGAGCGGGTGGTCTTTTTTTTGGAGGGTCCAGCTCGTGGCACGGTAGAGTCCTTTGGTTGAAGGTGGAATATGGCCCCTTCGAGCCTCTGCATTACAAAAGTAGATAATGAGTGCCCTAGCGCTCTATGTAATGCCTCAAATGGTATTCAATGGCTCACCAAAAGAGCAAGCCTGGATTTGTCGGCGACCGAGGTGTTGGTCCACACCTCATGCTTAGTCTGGCGGTAAGTCTTAGGTCGCTTTGCATTCAGCTCGAATATCAAGGTATACAGATCCGGCGTTTTCGAATTTAAAGGGGGGTCTTTGATGTAGAGGAGGAGCTGCTTGATTTGATGGGCATTCGAGGTGACTTAACAAGTGATTAAGATAATCCAACACTCGGAAAAAAACTCACTGTGTCCTGGAACTTTGCCCTCTCCGTCTTAGCTATTTCTTTAATAACCTTGCGCACCGCTGTGTCCGCGGTCGGTTCGCTGGATCGAAAATCTTCGGGCAGGTTGTAGTCAGGGACTTTGTTTGGGGCTGCAACCAAAACCCCCTGATGATGGGTTGGTCAGTCTGGGTGTGAAAAAAATGTACATGAAGTCAAGAAGTGACTCACTACAATGTGATTCTCAAGCGAGTCGAGAACAGGGTCGTTGTCAGTGGTGAAATTTGTCGCGTACGCCTGAACGTGACTGCCTACAAGGGCTTCACGGATTTTCTCCCGGATGAATGACTTCAAAAGTATTGTAAGTCGTTTTAAAGAAAGGTAATAAAGATAAAAAGAATTGGGAAACTTACTCGCACCCCTTCGCCGCCTTTCCATCCGTAGGCTTGATCACCTTGATGTTGAATGATTGTCGAGGAGGCCATTGATTTTTCGTTAATAGATTTTTCGAGTCTCGCAAACTGTGATCGAAAAAAACAGACGGTGGCTACTTCACGTGCGAAGGAGTCGGTGTGCTACATTGCATCAAAGATCCCATCAGTAACTTTTATTGATTGTATGTTGTTGAGATACATAGTGATCTGACCTGAAATATTTCTTTCACATCAGACTTTTCAGTTGAACTGAGTCCAAAAGAGTCACCCAAACTTTCAATCAGCTCCAAAGCCAAATTAGGGTCATTGGGTCCTTCATTGCCCCTGTGCCCATTGCCAAAACCTCTCTGCGAGCTGTTAGAGGTGCTTGGTGGTTCATCGTCTAGCACCGAGCGATAGTTAGGCTCCCCGCTGGAATCCAGGTCACCCCGTTGGAAAGCTTGGGAACGGAGCATTGGGGGAGTTTGTTGAGGGCGTTCAAAGTCAAACCCAAAGGCCATTGAGGCTTGGCGGATTCGTGGATTGGGTGTTGAATTGATTCGATCGTAGTTAGAGGCTGGGGATTGAAAGATTCCTGGCCGCATTTTTGGAATGGTTGCGATGAGCTGAAGTGATCGAGAGGGACAAAGGAAAACAAAAGGAGAAAAGAAACACCTTTGCTTCCGTTGTTTGATGATTGGTGGCGCTAACAAAAACTGAACAAGCATGTGGTTTCAACGTCAGAGATCACAAATTTGCCAGTTCAGGGGTTGAGACAGCTCTGCAATTGTGCGAATGGAATCTTTCACGCACCTGTCGGATTGCCTTTGCAATTGAGAAACTTTGCAAAATTTCTTCGTCTCTGCCCTGCTCGACCTCCAAAGTGGCTTTCTTTCGGGTCAAATCTTTCTGCTGGTCTTGAATCTTCTTTGGTTTTGAAAGGAGATTTTTTCATTGATCATGGTGAACCGTTGGTCCACATCTCCAAAACAAAGGGCTGCACTGCTACTTAATCCTGACACGTATCATACTCTCATACATGGTGTAAGGGAGGAGTATGGATTACGAGTCAGGTTACATATGTAGTATGGAGTTACAGTAGTGGTGTATAGTTGTTCTTATATAGAGATCTCATACTCTCTCCCTTTGAGGTTTTCTCTCGAGGACTCCTTCTTCCTCCTTATGTCTCATAGTAGTTCTTATATTGATTGTTCTTTATCATAGGTATGACTTCCTCTGGAGGACTCCTTCTTCCTCCTTATGTCTCATAGTAGTTCTTATATTGATTGTTCTTTATCATAGGCTCTTATCAGGAATATACTCAGGTGCTACTTCTGTCTGGCTTCGGCCTTGTGACTCCTCGATCCAGTGAAGGTCTCCCTGAGAGAGACCTTACACTTTTTTGAAGTACACCTCCGAGTTCGAAGGCGTCAATTGATTCTCGAACTCAATCAACTACTCCGCAATTCAATTCAAACCTTAAAACAATACAACTTTCAAACCTTGAAACGATACAACTCAATTCAAAATTTTTTCGAACACTCGGTTCCGATTTTTTTTTATTTTCTTTTCCTGTTTTAGCCTGCGACCTGAACTTAAAACCAGCTCCTCCACACTGTCAGAGACCTGTCACCTTCAGCCTCCTGTTTCACTGTTCAACCTGTCTATGTCTGACAACCGCCTGATATCCCATCGTACAACACGTCGAAACCCCGGAGAATCGATACCTCAAGTTGATAACCCGGAGCGAATCATCTTTCCGCCTCGAGGTGCCCCTACCCCGTTATCTTACACTACCCCTGTCACTACCCCTGTTCGGCCTACTTCAGCTCCGCCAATCCTGCCTTTGGTCGAATCGACGGGTTCGACTCCGTTGATAGTTCAACAGTGGGATTCCATAGTTAACCCACCGAATCGGCAAGGCTACCCTGTTATCACAGCGAACTGGCCCTTAGGATCTGACTCAGTCTCTCTTGATCAAGTTTCTGAAGAATCACTCGCAGTTGACCGACGTGTTAATCCTCCGGGTTCAGATCTTCGACATCCTCGTCGTAGTATTCCTGGCAATTTCGACCCACATACCTCTTTCATCAGCTCGGGCGAAGAAACCTTTCGAAACATGGCAAATCAACAATCAACTTCGATGCCTGCCGATCTCGATGTGAGCACCGAGTTCGCCCGAATGAAACTTGACAATGACGGACTACGATCAGACAACGCGGATCTTCGTAAGGAAATCGGCGAGGTCCGTAGCCTTCTACAGAACTTCTTGCAAAGCCAACGACCTCACGACGGACATCGCGACGGCAACGCGACCTCACATGGTGAAACGTCTACTCAGAGACCCAATGCAGACCATGACGTGACACCTCAAATGTTCACGTCGACGCCGGCGGTAGGACGACAGAACCTGTTCAACATCCCACCTTCTTTACCTTCCGTTGCCGATACGCCAGTCAATACGGTACCGGCAGCTGCTGATCTGTCCAACTTTCGAGCTACTGATTGGCCTCAGTACAAAGGCAAGTTTGGCGATGTCGCTGCCTTTCGTATGTGGCAATACCAGATGGAGACGACTTTTCGAGTTAAACAAATCGACCGACCTGAAGATCGTTTTCGGATTCTCCCGTTGGTTCTAGCTAATGACCCGGCCTCATCTTGGTGCCGCAGATCTGAACGTAATTTTGATGGTAAATCGTGGGATGCGGTGATGTTAGAGATGCAAGGAGTAGTGTTACCGGTTGGGTGGGATGAAGCAGCTCGAGAACGTTTGCGTGAATTGACGATGAAGGTGAATGAGTCGGTGACTGCATATTGTGGACGAGCAAGAGTGATCCAAGAAGAAATTGGAGTTGAAGAGTGTGATGATGAGCATTTAGCTAATGCTGTGGTAGGAGGAACTTCAGGGACCTTTAAGGCTTGGATCAAGATGGAGCGGGTCGTGAAGAATAGTGTGGATCCGGTAACGAAGCGCTTCTCATTCCCAATCTTTGAAGAACGACTCGGTGCCATCTTCCTGCTTACCCAAGCAGTTGATGGACGGAACGGTGGTCGCTCTCACTTGACGACTGGAACCTCTTCAAACGCTATGGGAACGGTGCCAAATGTTCAATCCCGGCCAGCTCAATCGGCTCAATCGACGGCTCCATCTGCGACCCGACCACCATTGTCTCCTGAGGAAAGCCAAGCTCGTAATGTGCGTTTCGGTGCATACATGCGATCGATTGGACTTTGTCCTCGATGCAAGACTTCGTGCAACAAGTGGTTAGGCGGCTGTGATGCGAGGCCTAACAATACGTTCTTCTCAGTCCCCATGGACTTTCCTCGTGCACCTCCTTATCCACCAGCTAAAGGCAGTTCATCGGTACCAGCGCCGAGAGCTTCGATGGCACCTGGAGCTTCAAGACCACCACGTAGAGTCGATGTAGCAGCAGTAGATCAAGGAAGGGAGGTAGATGTTGCGGCTGTTGGGGTGTTTCCGGACTTAGGACGCGCTGATCTTGCGGCTTACGAACAATTGATGGAACACCTGAACGGACCGCAGGATGAAGATGTAGTGGAGAATGCTGAGTACGGATCCCGTTTTGCTCATCCTAAATTAGGAAAAACCCTGATCATGACATGGCTTTTAAATGGCGTTTCCCTTCGCGTTTTAATCGACACGGGTGCAGGGACGAACCTTCTATCGGAACAAGCGGCTGACGAATTACGGCTGGTTCGGCGTCCCCTTCCGATTCCCATCTCGGTGCGTCCTGCTATCTTGTCCGAGCCTGAACCGTTTGTCCTGAAGGAGTATACATTCGCTAATATCAAGGCACCTCACCCTGCATTCACCTTTGGGGCAACAGCATTTAAAATCGCGCCGTTGGGGGGAGATTACGACTTGATATTGGGGGCTCCATTTCTTTCAAAACATAAACTTGATGTATCTTTATCCCAACGTGTGTTGCGTAGTGAAAAGAATGGATACAGTTTTCGTGAACAAAGCGCCATTGATGAGAGGAGAGATGCTGAGGATTGTAAGAAGAAAAGGGATGCCTTGGTGAATACAGTCATGCAGAATTTGGAAAAGGTGAAGGAAGTGAGTGAGCTTAGTATGAAGGAAGTTGCGATGTTGAAAGAATTTGAGGATTTATTCCCTGAGGAGTTGCCTGCGGTATATGATATTGATGCTGAAGATGATGAAGTTTTCCCAGCCAGAATGCAGTCAGAGGCTTCGAAGGTTCGACACCGGATCGTGCTGACTGATCCCAACGTTCAGATCAATGATAAGCAGTACGGTTATCCGCGGAAACACCTGGACGCGTGGAAGAAATTGATCAACCAACATGTAGCGGCCGGTCGTCTTCGAAAATCACACAGCCCGTATGCTTCGCCGTCTATGATAATCCCGAAAAAAGATCCGACAGCCCTACCAAGACTGATATGCGACTATCGGACGTTGAACAAACATACGGTGAAGGATCGTGGACCACTGCCCAATCCAGACGAAGCGGTGAGGTTGGTGGCATCGGGTAAAATCTATTCTTCTCTTGATCAAATCAACGCTTTTTTTCAAACTAGGATGGAGGAGAAGGACATCCCATTAACGGCCATCAAAACACCGTGGGGACTTTACGAGTGGGCAGTGATGCCCATGGGACTCACGAACGCGCCGGCAACACAACAACGTCGGTGCGAAGAGGCTCTTGGGGATTTGGTGAACAAAGTGTGCGTGGTATACATTGATGATATCGTCATTTTTTCACAGACGGTAGAGGAACACGAACAGCATTTAAGGGAGGTCTTACAACGCTTGCGTGAAGCCAACCTTTATTGTGGAATTAAAAAGACTCAACTATTCAGGAGACAGGTGAAGTTTTTAGGTCATATCATTAGTGAAAACGGTATTAGTGCAGATGATGAGAAGATTGAGAAGGTGGCAAGTTGGCGTACGCCGAAGAATCCTAAGCAACTTAAGGAGTTCTTGGGCACCGTCCAATGGATGAAAAAGTTTATAGAGGGATTATCTAGATACGTGAGCACTCTGACGCCTCTGACCAGTTCCAAGCGTAAGCCAGACGAGTACAAATGGACCGAGAAAGAAGATGAAGCCTTTAACAATATTCGCCGGATGATAACAACCTTGCCGGTCTTGCGGAATTTGGACTACGATTCCAATGAACCGATATGGCTTTTTACTGATGCTAGCGGTCACGGGCTAGGTGCAGCTCTGTTTCAGGGCGACAGCTGGGAAACGGCATCCCCTGTTGCGTATGATGGACGAACTATGACGCCGGCCGAACGGAACTATCCAGTTCACGAGCAAGAGTTATTGGCGGTCGTTCACGCGCTCAACAAGTGGCGTCTGTTGCTGCTAGGTCTCAAAGTGAACGTAATGACTGATCACCACTCGCTTACGTACTTGTTGAAACAGAGGAATCTTAGCCGGAGGCAAGCTCGTTGGTTAGAAACATTGTCCCAGTTTGACTTAGATTTCAAATACTTGCAGGGTGCCGACAACTCGGTTGCGGATGCGCTCTCTCGTATGGATGCGGCGGCGATATCTGAGTCTCGACCAACATTGGACGCGGATATTCGTCAATCCATCGAGGAGGGTTACAAGACGGACCCATTCTGTGTTAAACTGGCGAAAGTGCTGCCTCTGAGATCCAATTGTAGGTGGGAGGGTGAATTGATGCTGATGGACGATAGGGTGGTTGTGCCGATGGGAGCGGAGTTGAGGAACAAGTTGATTCAGTCCGCACATCAATCCATTGGTCATCTAGGAAATTTCAAGACTTACAACCAACTGAAGGGAGAATTTTTCTGGCCGGGGATGTGTGATGACGTGGAGAAGTGGGTAGGAAGTTGTGATGACTGTCAACGAAACAAGGCACGGACTACGCTTCTACCGGGACGCGCACAGAGTACTGACCTTCCCCGACGTCCAATGAGTAGTATAGCTCTGGACTTCGTGGGGCCATTCCCTAAGGTTTCTAACTATGACATGCTTTTATCGTGTACGTGCAGACTTACGGGTTTCGTTAGGCTAATTCCAACGAATCAGAAGGATTCAGCTGAGAGGACGGCACGACGGCTGTACGGTTCCTGGTTGTCTATCTTCGGTGCACCGGACAACATGATTGGCGATCGAGACAAGATCTGGGTGTCGCGTTTCTGGAAAGAGCTCCATCGATTGTTGGGTATTACGATCAACCTAACGACGGCGTATCACCCTCAAGCGGACGGACGGGCAGAACGGACCAACAAAACTTTGGGCCAAATCCTACGATTCTCAACTCAGGGACGACAAGGTAGATGGCTAGAAGCGCTTCCGTCCGTGGAATTTGCGATCAACTCGGCAGTCAATGCGGCAACTGGGGTATCACCAACACTACACCAAATGTAATCTTTACCGGGCGGTAAAGAAAACTACTGACATAGAAAAGTCCTGAGGCAACAGGAAGAGAGCTAAAAATCTGAAAAAATATGCACCTTGTTCCTAGATGTTGGGGCGTCATGATGAGTATTTTTTTGTATTTTACACACAGATATTGGTTTATGTACTAACAATAAACGCTGAAAATCATCAAAAACTCACATGTAACAATACCTGAAATTTGGGTCATGAGTATGAAGACAATATTTTGCGGTCTAAAAACTTCAATAACTTTTGCAATTCTGCTCCAAATAACTCGATTTTTGGTTCATTCAAAAGCTGAACTATTCTCCTTCACACTTCATAATGTTAGTAAGGTGCCATCTAGTCATTTAAACACTCTACATATGTTCAAACAGTTCTGCATGAATTGCTCTGTAGGATCTTTTTTAGACCAGCTACAGATGTGATGTCTGAATGAAAAATGTAGAGGAAAGGCTCACCTTTTTAATGCACTTCAAATCGAGTGATTTGATTCAGAACTGCAAAAGTTATTGATGTTTGAAGATTCCAAAATCCTGTCTTCAAAGTCAAGGGCCAAATTTCAGGTATTGTTACAGGTGGGTTTTTGATGATTCTCAGCCTTTATTGTTAGTACATTAACCAATATCTGTGTGTAAAATACAAAAAAATACTCGTCATGACGCCCCAACATCTAGGAACAAGGTGCATATTTTTTCAGATTTTTAGCTCTCTTCCTGTTGCCTCAGGACTTTTCTATGTCAGTAGTTTTCTTTACCGCCCGGTAAAGATGACATTTTGTGTAGTGCAATGTACTTCGTGTTGGGACATCAACCACGGCTTTTTCCGGTTTCTTCATCGGTTGAAGCAGTCAGTCAAGATGTTGAGAAATGGGTTGAATCTAGGCGAGTAGATTGGTCAAGATGTCGTGATAAGTTATGGTTGTCTCGGGTGGAACAAGCGTTGCAGTATAATAAGAAGAGGGGTGGAGATTTAGAGCTTAAGGTGGGAGACCTGGTCTTAGTGGATAGTACTCATCGAGTGTCACAAGTAGGAGGCAAGGTGGCGAAGCTGCGTGCTAGGTACGATGGTCCGTATAAGGTTTTGGAGGTGATCAACGGTGGAAGAGACGTACGACTTCAACTGTCGGCCAACGACAACAGTCACGATGTTTTTCATATTTCGAAACTCAAGAGGTATCGGACAGATGAAGCGGTGGACGTCTGCTGAGAAGGGCGAGGGACTACCTTGTGCAAGTAAGTTCCCTCCTTAAGTATGCACCGCCGCGGGGTTCTACCTCCCTTGTCAATTTCGCAACAACACCTTGGCCACGCCTGTGAGCACATACCTTTCGACTTTTGCTCTTTCAGGACATGACGCGGCGACTTTCAACAACATTGGTTCTTCGACGGATTTAGTGATTACAATAGTTTCCTTTTTTTTCTTTTCTCTTTCTTTCTCTTTCTTTTCTTTCGTTTTTTCTCAATTTTCTATATGATAAATACAAATTGTTGGTTTCCTTTTTTTTTCTTCTCTTGTCTTTTTTTAATTTTGATTTTCTTTATTAGTTATTTCAGGAATGTGGTGGGAGTATTGTGGATTAGGGGGAAGTCTTTTCGTGTTACTTTAAGTTTAGTTGGGGGGGGTGTAAGGGAGGAGTATGGATTACGAGTCAGGTTACATATGTAGTATGGAGTTACAGTAGTGGTGTATAGTTGTTCTTATATAGAGATCTCATACTCTCTCCCTTTGAGGTTTTCTCTCGAGGACTCCTTCTTCCTCCTTATGTCTCATAGTAGTTCTTATATTGATTGTTCTTTATCATAGGTATGACTTCCTCTGGAGGACTCCTTCTTCCTCCTTATGTCTCATAGTAGTTCTTATATTGATTGTTCTTTATCATAGGCTCTTATCAGGAATATACTCAGGTGCTACTTCTGTCTGGCTTCGGCCTTGTGACTCCTCGATCCAGTGAAGGTCTCCCTGAGAGAGACCTTACACATGGATGAGCAGTAAAATGTTGGCCGTGTACCCGCTGCAACGTTCACACTTCTTGGAAATTGAAGTGTGAACGTGCCAGCTGTTCACGGGCAACAGCGCCCGGGCCTGCGGTGACCGTTTCCACACACTTACTGTTCAGTTCGACACCGATTTCATTCGGTGTCGAAGAAACCACTTCACCACCGTGTCAGCCAACGTTCTCAAACGGTGGCTGACATGCGGCTTGTTCCT